AATATAATATATATATATATATATATATATATATATATATATATATATATATATATATATATATATATATATAAATTAGGGTACAACAAATCAACAAAATCCACTAGGCATCTTTATTACTAAATAGTTTCGTACCACAGTATGTGGCACTCTTCAGATAAATTGACCTATATTGATTAGGTCAATTTATCTGAAGAGTGCCACATACTGTGGTACGAAACTCTTTAGTAATAAAGATGCCTAGTGGATTTTGTTGATTTGTTGTACCTTAATTTAAATATGCTCTGGTTTTCCATTCAGCACTTTGCCAAAAGTTTTTATAACCAACAAAACCAAATTTTATATATACATTACACTGAGTGTATATCCACACCATGCAGGCTTGAAAAATATGCCCGAGCACGGTTGGATCGAACCTACGACCTTTGGAATACTAGCCCAAGGCTCTGCCAACTGAGCTACGGCGTCAGGTCGATACATAACATTAACAACACAGAAAAAAGCATATTATTAGATTGCATTGATATCGAAGGAACTAGATTCAGTTCCGAAATATCACATACTCGAACCGACCTGACCGCGTAGCTCAGTTGGTAGAGCATTGGGCAAGTATTCCAAAGGTCGTAGGTTCGATTCCCACCGTGGCAGGCATATTTTCCAAGCTTATCTGGTGTGAATATACACTCAGAGTAACATCACAAACATCATATTCACCTGAGTACATAACATTAACAACACAGAATATATATATATATATATGGAATATATATATATATATATGTTTGATTTGTATATATATATATATATATATATATATATATATATTCTGTGTTGTTAATGTTATGTACTCAGGTGAATATGATGTTTGTGATGTTACTCTTAGTGTATATTCACACCAGACAAGCTTGGAAAATATGCCTGCCACGGTGGGAATCGAACCTACGACCTTTGGATCATGAACATTATATATATATATATATATATATATATATATATATATATATATATATATATATATATATATATATATATATATATATATATATATAATGTTCATGATTCAAATGTTGTGAAAATTGCTAGAAATTTCGAGAAGAAATCTGTAAGTATATCTTGGAACACAAAGAACATCTGACGTTCAGTCATACTTTGAAACGAGCAGGCGTGCTTCATGCAGCCAAAAGTTTACTATTCAACCCACCTATAAAATGTAATGAAGGATTCAAGAGCGCTACCAAATCTGGCTGGAGTTTTTTACGACTCCGTATCCAACATAGCCATCAAAGAATTATTGAACTGGAAAAACAACGAGACATTTATGCTAAATAATACTTTGACAGATATTCTTTCACCCGAAATCTACGAGATTCTCGGTAATGTCGTCGCACACAATTCTCACTCAGCTAGACAAGCAGCAAAAGAAAGACATCAAGGTAAGTTGCAAGATTAGGGGATATCAGACACCCACATAGGAGAAGTGAATAAAGACCGTTGGGTCATAAATCTGTCGAAGCGACAACGTTCCCACCAATAGCACACAGTCCTACGTAATGGTTTGAATTTTGCTAATACGCCAAAAACCATCCCTACAGCACATATCGTAGCAAATATGGAGAAGGGAGTCAAAGAACTGCCTGATAAACCAAATCATCGATTCGTGCATCTGTTGTTAACATTTTACGACATAGCAAACCCCCCGCAACAAAAAACATGTCCAATCAGCAAAATTTAGCTATGAAAAAGTTACAACGAGACCCCTCGATTCAAATTATAGCTGCCGATAAGGAAACGGCTATAGTTGTAATGAACAAAGACGATTATCAGCATAAAATTAACTATCTTTTGGATGATCCCACAACATACCTAAAAATAACAAACAAACGTAGAAAGCCCACATCTAGAGTTGAAAAAGATATGAATAGTCTTTTAAGAGAGATTATATCGCAACCAGCCACACACAATCAAGAAACAAAGCAAATTCAAGACAAACTGTACTATTTTTTACATAGCACAGATGCCAATGTTGCCACATTCTACGGTTTAATTTGCCAAAGATCCACAAACATGAAATCCCTTTACGTCCCATTACTAGCTGTACTGGCCTTCACACTTACCGACTGTCCAAACATCTAGTCCGTATACTCTCCCCCCTTTTGAACGAGAATTTCTTAATTAAGAATAGCAACGAGTTCGCAGAACAAATACGCTATCAATCTACATCGAGTAATGAGATCATGGTATCCTACGATGTGGTTTCGCTTTTAACATCTATTCTAATTGAATTAGCCCTGCAAGTGGTCAAGAAAAGACTAGTGCAAGACAATAATCTCACAACTCGTACAGACATATCTATAAAGAATATTATAAAACTATTAGAGTTCGTATACGAAACAGTTATTTCAAATACGACGGTTGTCATTATCAACACATTTCTGGCTGTGCAAATGGGTTCCAGGGGCGCCGGAGCCACGGGGGTAACTGCCCCCGTTGCCGAAACAGTGCGGGGGCGGCACGGGGGCAACAGGTTGCCCTTTTTCACCAGAACTGCGCTTCGACATTTGTGCGTTATTCACATGAATTTGAATTTCTATCTATTTTTGAGCAATCTTTGCTTAATTTTAACCAGTTCTAGTAAAATTAATGTCAGAGGCAGTGGGAATCACTTTTGTATAATTATGACTCAAAATCAAACGATTTTATGTCGTTCACGAACCGAACGAAATTTTTTTGAAAATATGGAGTCCCTATAACGTCGGAAATAGCCTTACAGAGTCTTTACTACAGCAAAAAGGGCAGGTGCTTTCTTTCTAGCCCCCCAAAAGGGCACTTTTTCACTTTAAAAAAGTGGGGAGGCACATGCCCCCATTGCCCCCCGGTTCCGCGGCCCCTGATTAATGCTAAATCAGGCAATATACGTCCGTTTACTGATTTTATTTTGCGCCCTTAACATGGTGCAACAAATAAAATTGTTCAAAATTAATGTCGAAGTTTGCCGACCCACAATAGCCACAAGTAATCGGGTATCCATACAATAAAGTTTTAACAAATATAGCCGCCCAGAAAAATGATGGCTGAGAAGCAAGTGCCCTTTTGAAATGGCTGCCCCCGCCGCTTCACATTGCTTCCGGTGCCCCTGATGGGTTCCCGAATAAGTGCAACATTAGCGAATATAGTCTTGGGGCACATTGAAAAAAATAGCCATTACGATAGCCCCACATCCACCACGTTGGTGGTTTCGTTTCGTAGACGATAGCCACACATGTTTACTCAAAGACTATGTCAGTGAGTTTCATGATCCCCTAAACTCCGTCGATCCTAATATGCAGTTCACTGTGGAAAAGGAAACGGAAAGCAAACTTGCTTTCCTAGACACTATGACAACTAGAGATAACACGAAAACTATACAAGTCAGCGTTTATAGGAAACCTACACACACAAACAAATACTTGGATTTTAATTTCCACCATCCCACCACCCATAAACGTTCTGTCGTTAATTCTTTACTCAATCGAGCAGATAATATTCCGACTTCTACCTCGGGAAAAAGAAAGGAACGTAAACATGTTTTCAATGTACTTATGGGCAATGGCTATCCCAAACAGTTTTTAAAACAGTGTGACAAACATCGCAGACTTAAGGAAAAACAAGGTTCCCCTGATGCTGACAATTCCGCATTCCCGCAAACAAAGTTCATTACATTACCGTATATCAAAGGCGCCTCGGAGCAAATCTCTAGAACATTAAAACGAGAAAACCTTAATTATAAGTAATAGCATGGCTTGAGGGAGATTAGTGATTAAATGACCCCGTAACCCGAGACAGGTTTGTGGATTCCGCAAACCTGCCGAGGGTAAGGGGTCATTTAATCACTAATCTCCCGAAAAGCCATGCTATTAGTTTGTAATAGCATAGTTGAGTTCCCATTTAAAAATGGACAAACATACCCTACTTTCAATCAGCGAATGTAAGCTAAAACATTTGCTTCTTTGCTTGTGGGATGTAAAAGCTTGTTGCACATGCGCACTTTTTACGCTTTAATCGGTTACGCATGCGCAATCTATCATTTAACGTACCACAACAAAAACGATAAAATATATTAGTATAAAATCGGAGACTGCACGAACGTAATTTAAATGATGCAACAACTCAGGGATCGGATGATAGACTATTGACGGATCTGAGCTAACTGTTGCTGTTCCTTGCACGATTATGTGCGTGAGGCACTTGCTTAATGCGTAGTCGGCAGGGAGACAAAGGGTGTGACCCTTGTTTTTGTTGTCGCAGTTTCCGTATTCTGTGATTGGCTGTGCCTAATTATACGTGCGTTGGAACAGCCAATCACAGAATACGGAAACTGACAACTGTAACTGCGCCGACAACGAAAATACTTGCCCACTACCGAAACAACAAGCCACAGTCACAACGAACAACACAAACGACACAATTGCTATGACACACATTGCTATGACAACGACTACATTTAAGGAACGTTACGCTAACCGCACTTCATCTTTTCGTCATAATAAAACTCAAACAAAACGGAACTTTCGAAACATATTTGGAAATTAAAAGAAAACAATCAGGATTATACTATCAAATGGTCAATTTTTCATACACAGGGGGATCAAACGCTGCAATTTATGCCGTTTGGAAGAAAAATTTTGCATTTTGAAAGACATAAACAAAGATAATTTACTTAATAAAAGAAGCGAAATTTTCGGCAAGTGTCGTCACAAAAACCAGTTTCGAGTAAACAAGGTCGTTAACAAAACTTTATGACCCAAGCATTGTTTCGACTAAGCACTGTTTCGCCCAAGCATCAATTGTTTCGTCTAAGCATTGTCGTAGTATTTTACTTTTTCCGACCGCTTGAATAAATTTAGTCGTCTAAAATTTCACCAGAGAGATTATTCCATGATGCTGCCCGTCATGCACTCTTGTCCTTACTTTTCAGGCTGCATCCTCTCACTATATACCGTAAACAATGATCATAGTACATTATTTTATATTCTAAATACAAATTTGTATTGATTGCAGTCAATGGGGAAGAATTGGGTCTGGTAAAGTATTTATTCAACAAGAGTCGATACGACAAAAGAATCTTGCCAACCGTGGGACAAAATTCGCCATTAAATGTTATTGTTGGTCTAATGATACACCGTATTGAGGATTTGGTAAGACGAAAAACATTTTTTCGGATTAATTAATGTCGCACTCTAATCTCTAAAAATTTAGAATACTCTAAAATTTTTTTTCCACTGGAGACGAAAGACTGATTACAGAGAAAACGTGACTGGACGGCTTCAGTATTCTGCAATTTATTGCATTATGATAATTAATAAATAATTAAGCAGTCAGTCAATAATAAAAATTTAAAGCGATCTAATAAGCGATCGTCCTTTCTTAAAGCGAATGTATATGATTCCGCGCTGAACAAATTTAATTGTCAATGCATGATTTTGAATAAATTTGTTTAAAGTGCATATGAAATGAAATTTCTTATTTTCTTAAATGAAAGAACTCTTTTAGCTGTAGTGTAACTTATTTTTTAGTTTCTTGTTTTTATGGTTTGTTCCCGAGATATTATTTATATATGGTTTGTTCCCGAGTTTATATGGTTTGTTCCCGATATATGTCCGCTAATTTATGACGTCATGTTGGTTGCAAGCTCTTCAAAATGGTTGAATATCATTGCTATCATCCAAAATGATAATTTCAAACTTCACTCACTGGTAAATGTGATGAAACAATGGAGAAAAACGTGAACTGGTATGAACAGTTTTTAGAGTTAATACATTTATAACCAGTTTAGTTTAGTTTAGTTTAATGAAATATGTCACATTACATTACATTGCGAATTACAAATTACAAATAAATACAGGACATGCATGCAACACCTAAACTAACAATGACACAAAGACGGAGTGACAGGAGAGGAAAACAGGACTAACGTCCCAATTGACAATCCTCCCCCTTTATATACTACAAAAATATAAAATACCTTGTGAACACAATACACAAGAGTATAGTTTACGGTGGACAATACAAAGCTAGCTTATTTCTGTAATAACGAAGAAGGAGGTTTTTGAATTCGGTAAGACTGGATGCATGTTTTATGGAATGAGGGAGCTCATTCCATATCTTAACTGTCCTAGGGAAATATGAATTTATAAAGTAATTCTGGCGATGGGATGAATAAAAGCGATAATTTGCTTCATCAAAGTTTCGCGTAGCATAACCAGACGAGGCTGGTTGTAATAAGTTCTGGAGGTTAGCGTTAATAAGACGAGTCTTAGACTTAAAAAGGAGAATTAGATCTATTGTTTCTCTGCGATGTTCCAATGGGAGTATGCTCAACATGGCTAATCTTTCCGTATAGTTTACATTGCTTGGGTAGTCCAAAATAAACTTTGTGGCACGACGCTGTATATTTTCGATAAGTTTCTTGTGCTTTACTGTGTATGGTGACCATAGACTACTCGCGTACTCTAGTAGAGGTCTAACTAATGACACGTATAGGAGCAGTCTAATGGAACGGTCGTGGAAGTCTTTGGAGACGCGCTTTACTAGGCCAAGAGTTTTGTTTGCCTTAGCACACATCTGTTCAATGTGTGCCCCCCATGATAAATCTCTTGTAACAGTGACACCAAGATCTCGTGTTTCAACAGGAGCGTCCAATTTATGCCCAGATAAATAATATTCGCGCAGAAGAGACCCAGCAGACTTTTTTCGTGACATATGCAAAACTTTGCACTTGGATGTACTAAAATCCATAGCATTAACACGACTCCAGTCCTGTAGCGAATAAAGATCAGCCTGTAGGGAGATTGATGTACTTGGAGAATCAATAGTGCGGTAAAGTTTTGAGTCATCCGCATAAAGGGCTATAGTTGATCCTTGTGTAACATGATCGGGCATGTCGTTGACGTACACCAGAAAAAGTAGGGGCCCCAGTATGGAACCCTGGGGCACTCCAGATGTGACTGGTAGCCAATCAGAATATGTGCCTTTCAGTACTACTCGCTGACGTCTGTCCCACAAATAACTTTCGAACCAGTCGAGGACAGGTCCCGATATACCAGAGTTTTGAAGTTTAGCCAACAGTTGAAGATGTGGCACTTTATCAAACGCTTTAGAAAGATCTAGATGAACAACATCGACGTCTTTTCCATCAGCCAGGTTGTCCAGAATTTCATGATACACTACAAGAAGTTGGGTTACGGTTGATTTACCTTTTAAAAAGCCGTGTTGAAGCTGGTAAAAGGAAGGAAGTAGGTGAGAATAGCAGCGTCTGAATACACAGCGCTCCAGGATTTTGGAGGCAATGCACAACAGTGAAATTGGTCTATAATTCTCAACCAACGTAGAATCGTCCTTTTTTAACACAGGTGAGATGTTCGCGCGTTTCCATAGTACAGGGAATGAGCCTGTTGATAAAGACATGTTAAAAATTTTACACAAGAAGGGTGCTATTTCATTTGCCGTGTATTTCAGAAGAGTTCCGGGAATATCATCCGGGCCACAAGCTTTGTTGGGGTCTAAAGCCTGAATTGCGCCCGCTACTTCAGCGACTGTGAGATTAATAGTAGTCAGCAGATTTTCTGCTGGGTCCAAGGATTCAAAACTAGGTGGGGATTGTGCACTTGAGGACGGGTTATACACAGAGTGAAAAAAACGATTAAACAAGTTTGCCATATCTCGACTATCAGTTATAAATGAACGACCGTCTCGTATAAAATTGCAAGAACGATTATTTGAGGTGCAAGATTTGACATAACCCCAAAAACGCTTTGGGTTTGTGGCAACAGATTCTTTAAGCTTATGCGCGTGTTCTTGTCTTTTTTTAGCTAAAAGTTGTTTTGCTGCACATCGGAGATCGTCATATTTTTTCTTTGCTGATTGCGAGCGGACTTTGTTTACAATCCGTCTCTGTGTGTCTTTCTTTTTCAAAAGGAAACGCATTTCATTATCAATCCATGGGTGGTCATGCACGTTACGGGAACTAGACTTGGGAATATGACTGTCAACTGCACAAAGAAATAAGTCACTCCAATTAGCAAGTGATAAGTCAACGTCATTAGGAACAAAGCATAGGTCCCAGGAGATATTACTGAGAGTTTGTTTAAGACCTGGCCAGTCGGCTTTCTTAAAGTTATAAACAACACGTTTTATGTTCGGCTTTTTTGTAATTTTGAGATCTAGCTCGAAACTAATTAGTTTATGATCGGTGGAAATTATGTCGTCAAATCCGTGGATATTACGGAACCTAGTGGGAATAGTTGTTAAAATTAGATCAAGGGTGTTCTCCTCTCTAGTTGGGAAGTCAACTAACTGCCACAAATAATAGTCCTTGACGATCTTCGTGAAATAATTGTGAATACGATCTCCAGTCGTCGCAGTTCCCGTTGACCAGTTAATCTTAGGGAGATTAAAATCACCCAAGACAATAATTTGATCGAATTTTGTGCGGCTAGCAAGTCGCAGGAGTTTCTTAAATTCTTTCAAACAGTTAAGATCAGAGTCTGGTGGCCTATAGAAAGCGACTGCCAAAATATTTCGTCTAGAATTTGGGCGAAGTTCACACGCCATTATTTCGGCATTTGTTTCTAGATCATTCCTGCGGACGCTCAATATGGTGTTTCTTACTGCTAGAAAAACACCACCGCCGACCTTGTCAACTCGATCTCGTCTGTGAATAGTATATTCAGCACTCGGGAGAAGTTCGCAATTCAAGACATCAGGTTTTAGCCATGATTCAACACAAAATATGAGATCATGCCCAATCGATAATGCCTGTAACTCACTACGCTTGTTGACCACACTTCTAGCATTCATATAAAGGCACTTGATCGCAGAACAATACAATGTATTTGCGTTACTGTTAATCCGACAACCAGGACCAGGTTGTGTAGCAATGTCTCCACAGAGAAGCAGAAGGCTGCCCACAAGTAGACCGTTACGACATGTAAAGTCTCGATGTAAACGACTAAGTCTAAGTGGCTTTCCGTCAACAAGGCAAGGTTTTTCAGCATAACACGTTTTACAATATCTCCATAAGTGAAGCGAAACTTCATTTGAGTTGTTTGCAATGCTAGACTGAGATATCAGTAGCAAAAATCTTACTGCTACAATAAAAACGACGGAACTCAGATCGATGCGTCCGACCGCCATCATTACTTCAGTTGCGCTTGCAACTAACATGACATCATAAATTAGCGGACATATTCACACTCATTTACATATCAAACAAATTGAAATATCTCGAAAACAAACCATAAAAGCAAGAAACTGAAAAATAAGTTACACTACAAATTAAAGAGTTCTTTCATTTAAGAAAATAAGAAATTTCATGTCACATACACTTTAATTAAGTAATGCATGCATGTGATTTTATAAATTATGAATGGCAGATAGTAGTAAAGCCCTCTCTTCTGGAGTTCAAAGGAATGCCGCAAATGACGTCACTTTGCTTCGGAAGTAATTAGTATGCAAACTCTATGACGTTACTTTGTTCAGCTAACAATCTGACGGATTTTATAATGAGATTCCAAAATCTATGACGTCTGGTAGCGTGACCAAACAAAACAAGGTTCTCCTTTGAGAGCCTTCGCCCTAGTGCAATTACGCCACAGAACAAGATCAGGCGACACTAAGACAAGCATGGGCCAAATGTGACAGGCGATCAATTAGCATAATGAGCCAAATGTGACAGGCGATCAATTAGCATAATGAGCCAAATGTGACGGGTAGCGCGACCAGACACACATGTATTTTGATTGTTTTTTCGCGTGATTAAAACATGCTTTTGCGATAGCTCAGTTGCTAGAGCGGAGGACTGTAGTTCCTTAGGTCGTTGGTTCAAGCCCAGCTCGTAAGATTTAAAAACAGGCGTTCTTTTTGGCGTGAAAATGTATATGAAGCTCGGAGCCTAATTCAAAATAACCGGAAACTTTGAAAGTTTACAGCGAAGCATATAGTCTAAATAGCTCGGAGCCTGGCTCGGAGCCGGTCCGTTCGAAGCATAGTCTTTAGTTGACAACGCTTAGTTCATGTCTACACGGTAAAGTTACTGCCTCTTCGACTACGAAAAATGGTACACTTTGATTCTGGGGGAAAAAAACCTTTTAGAACCGTTGTAATATATTTTGTCATAAAAAAATAATCAAATGTGCGGTTGCTATATACGTTGCTATGTGTTGTCAGTCATTAGCGACGCTTGGGCGCATGCATATATTAATGTACAACATAGTTGTACTCAGGCGGGCGGGTCGCGCGGATAGGAAAGATCGGGCTTT